CCACTATGAAAACATCGGATTAGTTCAAAGGCCCATGTACTCAGGTCATTAATTCATATTAATGAATGAAATCATTAATGGGTTAATGGACAGTACCATTCTACACAACAGGGGTGTGGAAGTAACCATTTGTATTTAGTGAAGGCCAGATGAGGGCAAGCCAAATCATAAGCAGCCATCCACCTCATCGCGTGCGACATTCAAATACCAACTTCTTTAAGTGGCATTTAGAAGTTGGTGTGATGAAGTAAGACAAGTTCTATGGATGAACAACTTCTTTATTACAATTAGTGCTACGTTTCGGTGTAGATCCTAACACCTTTATCAAGCAAGTGATCCTACCACCTTTATCAAGCAAGTGATCATCACTTGCTTGATAAAGATGTTAGGATCTACACCGAAACATCGCACTAATTGTAATAAAGAAGTTGTTCATGCATAGAACTTGTCTTACTTCATTCAATTACCAAGGTAACAAACCGATTGTCATTTTTAGTTTGATCGATGCTCGGGGACATTTTGACCCGAAGTTCCTTCAGGGTTAATCGTCAGGAAATGTGTACCTTTGCATACGCCTTAAGCTAAATACAACCTTGCTTGAGAGAAACATCATATTCAAATTCTACTTAAGAACCAAATATAATGTCACGCGTACAATGTAGACCAATAGCGGAACATTCCAATTGGTCGTTAGCTTGGGGGAAATATGTATGCCCTTTTATCTTAACATGTACCGTAATGCTTTCTTTATATAATAATATTATATATATAACGTAAATCCTAACCGTACACATATACAGGTGCGTAGGCTTCGAAGTCACGCGTTGTTGTCTGAAGACAGTTAATTTCCAAAGTATCTGTATTCCAGTTGATAATTAGCACTCCTTTTTTCGTTGAATTACCTGACGCGGAAACATGTACATTAGAAGGCACAGTAAAACGGGATTTAATCAATTACACGATATTGTGTCATGTTTGGTATACACATATTAATATGTCTACACCCACACACTTAAAAGTAGAATGAAATGCTACATCGTGCAACATGAAATGGATACCCAGAAAATGAGTAGGCTTAATGTCTGCTGAATTGTTTTCACCAAATATGAATGCCGTGTCTCCAGAATCATGCACACCATGAAGTGAAGACGTTGCAGGGCCAACAAGACACATGGGTGTCGTTGGCCGTTCATATTTCTCAAATTCTCTTGGGAATCACCGCTGAAAGATACTGACAGATTAATCCTATATTTTCTGACACATGATACAAAACATATTTAAATCTGCGAGGTTGATAAAACTACTTTATTGCGCATTAACGTTATCTATTTCCGAAAATCGATGCGTGGGTGGCTTTATGTTTCGTCAACTGTACTTAATAGATTTGAAAGAGTTCTTAGAAAATATCGTTTGTAAGAAAAACGCGCTTCTAAATCCAAGTCAAGATAAAAGTAGGCAAGTTTTATTTATTTTTTCAGAAAGTGTGTGGAAGAGGTGATCGTTAGGTATTTAGTTCACAGGAAAGACTGGGCAGGATGCAGCTGCTGTTGATGGTCATGTCAGTGACAGCTTGTCCACGCTCTGAGTCCGTTGATTTCATTGTATAGTCATTCATTAACCTTGCCTTTAGGGCAATCAAAGAATCATCTAATGTCAGGATGACACACGTATAGAATCACTTTGAATTGCAAATATATGTAAATAATTTCACCTTGAGGTCAGTAGTAAAAGTAATTAGTTTTATTTACATGTTGTATTCTTGTTATAACATATGGTCTTTTTCTATCCGATTTCTAGTTTACTTAATTTTTTTTATTGTTATTTATGTCAATATGCTTCATTTGTGTTTCAAGTGGTATTTGCCCCTAAATTAATTTAACTTGGTGTCATACCTTTATTGTGCCATACGATGGCAGTGATGTTAGTAACATTGATAAAGTTTACTGAAATGAGGCCTTCAAATAACGAATAATCAGAATGACACACATCTTAATATAACAATTACCATCCGACTGTTTTACATTTCGTTTTATAAAAATAGCCTGAACATTTATCAAATACGTATTTCGCAATGTGTCTATGTAATTTAATGATTAAGCGTCTGATTCTAACGCAACACCATCTTCCTACTGCGTATTTGTTTCTGTAAGTTTTACAGAGAAATATTCAGTCTATGCTTGTTTGAAATGTGTATGGCGATTCTCTGCTGAGGCTATTTCAGTTATATCACGGTGTCTCAGCTTGCCCCAGGGAGTGAACTGCCAATTAGCAGGTCTCAGACGTTTATCCACTTGCACGGTTGAGGTGCTGACAAACCAAGGAACATAATCCAAATCTCGGATTCGAACCCACGAAGATATGTTTCTGGCAAACCCGAAACAATTGCACAGAGACTTTGGAGGCGGCGAATTAACCCGTGTCTGAGGGTTTTTCGTTAACAAAATCAATTAGAGTAATACGATTCTATACTTTGGAAAATGCACCTTTGTATATTTTATTCATGATTGCTCAATCGATGAAAATATTTTGACCGCTGATATTTTTCTGAAATACAATGACGTGAAATGACTTTGGGGACCTGTTTTGGTATCATAAATACCGTGATGAAAAGCCCCATTTCCCTCAAACTCGCTTTAAAGGATAACAGTACTAAAACATAGCTTTCAGTTTTTGACAAATATCATTGCATAAATTATTCTGCAAAAAAATAATACTCAAAGCGGTGTTTTGAAGGTGAAAAAAAAGTAGAAAAAGTTACTTGTTTTTAAAGCTTTTCTGGAAACACCCGATATCAGTTAGCATACCGGTTACCACGTGGTCTGATATCACAGATGGGTACGAGTATTGCAGTCATTTCATAATTGCTCCTTTTGTCTGATGACGGTTTGTCATTTCATCAATACCAGTATACGTGCTTACCAATATGAATCCATAGTACATCCAAGACGTGGCTGATTAAGTGACGAACGATCGAGTAAAGATAATCGTGAAGATGATGATGATGATGATTATGATGGAAACATCTAGCGACTCGACAGCACAACTGGTAACGGTATTGATATGTTTATGTTCTTATAAGTATTGTCACGGCTTGTTGATGCCAATACAATTGCAACATTTAAAGTGGTATATCATGCGTGTTTTGTTTTAACATTTAATATGCAATCGGGGTGTATAACTTGCCGAATAAGAATCAACTCGCCACACAATAAGAGGTTTGTTACCGATCAAGATCCACTGTTTCAACTTTGTGGTTGCAGACAGTGTATTGCCATGGTTACTTTTCTATAAAGCAAGTGTTGTCAAGAACTACAGCAGGCGGAACACATGGCGATAAGGTCGAAATCCGACGCATCACAAGTACTTCAGTGACAATCGTCTACGAAGGGGTTTCGATACTCGATTTGATCGTCCACTTGGCAAACACGAACCAAAATGAATCAACGAGTTATTTCGTCAGCTTTTGATTTAATTATTTCAGAATTATTGTATTTAATATGCTCATATTGTAGCATATGTCTTGTGTTATTCTAATGATTCTGTGTCACATTTCTTAAATTGTAACAATTCATTCTCAGAATGATTTTATTTAATCGGATTATTTCGTTTTAATCTTTTAATAATAAAATATTAAACAAACCCCCACCACTCATGTGTCAATCTTTCATTCAAGATTGTTTTACTTTTATTCACCGCTTTCAAATCTACCCATTATGTATTTACATCAGTTGTAATCCATGCATTGAGCTAACCATGATTCGTGATTCGTAAATCATCAATCCATTCATTCATTTTGAAGCTACCGACCCATCCGCAGAAGCGGGACATGCTGCCACAGCAATCACAGTAACAGGAACATCTTTACTGGAACGAACCGTCATGTTGAATGAATCCAGATGCCAAGGTTAAATTGGATTACATCGAGAGATATACAAGCCGACTAGAGTGACATTCAGCAATGTCCCTATGGTATACTCATTCAAGCTGAGAAAAATAAGAAGGAGGGACACAATTCCGAAGGGAAATTGTAGCTCCAAGAACGATGACGTTTTTAAAGAGGTTGCCATGGAAGTATGTACAGAGTTAAGGTTTTGATCAATTTGAAAAGTTATATTAATCGTCCTCCTCTGGACATCGATTGACGTTTGGTGTAGAGTGTATTATCAAATTATCATGGCGCAGTTGCAAAAAATACCTATAATCATAGGTAGTGATCACCTTTTTAAATGATAATAGATTTCTCTAGTTACGTTTTTATTACGAAAAGGGCATTTTGCTTTTTTCGCCATCCCGATGGGTTTTTTTTCATTTAACCTTTGCTTATTTAAGCTTCCAACAAATCACCTTGATAGAGAGGAAAGAAATTACGTTTGCGCCCACTGAATATTCCCTTGTCAATCGATTGAAACAATTTAGTGTCAAGCTCAATAAGACATTTGCAATGACAGTGATTGACATCATTGACATAGAATACATGCAGTTCTGAATTAATTATATCCATGTTAAACCAAACGAATCACTGATACATATCTGTGACATAAATAAGATAAATACACATTTGAAAAAAAGACGATCATGTTAATGGTTTCAGGAGAAATAACAGTCTGAAGGTTATAGGAATATATTCTTACTGATGCCTCAGTGCTAGTTCATAGCCGCACACCTTACAAACTGCAGTCTTCAACAAGAAGCACTGGACTGAATGTATACACTTCCCCTTAACCTTGTTCTCTTGGAGAATGGATCTGCCAGTGGGTTAATTGATGCGAAAAGCAACAACCTTTCGTGATCTATGACATTTAAGTTTGAATGCCGAAGGAGAGTTAGACCAGACACGAATTAAATCAAGAAAATTAGACAAGCCTCTTTGCTCTTGTAACTTTAATTCCCTTGGCCTTTTTAAGTGCTGTAATGCCCAAAGCAACAGCGGTGAACCCTGGTCATCAAATAGTTATCTCTGACCTTTACTGTCTGACCCCTGGGACAGGTGCTGGACAGTACGCCCAATGACGACCAACTATATCTGTGTAAGAAACTGTTTTGACATTTCGATGGTTTGATATCTTGCACAAACAGATTATATATCAAAGATGGTGGGTTATGAAAGCCTTGTCATTTCAATTATGTGACTACAAAACAAATTACGATGAACGGCATATGTTCTTTTAATGTTATATTTACATTTACATGTCGAGAACATTACACTAGGGTGAACTGTGAATACCATCAGGTCACAAACATGGTTAAATTGTTAAAGGTACTTGACAAGTATGTAATGATTTAATTCAAAACAACTGTTTGCAATTTTATTTTCTTCAACGCCATTGCTCATAATGCCAGCAGTTTCAAGGTGGTTCATAATCTGAACGGTTCCTTCTATACAATGTGAGTGTTGCACCAGCTAACCCTGTGTACGGTCTGCTCAGCATGCTGCAATCTGACCACACCTCTCGGGACGGACTGAACGACTCTACGTTGTACAGTCGTTCTCTAGTATTCCAGTTGTATCCTCCAAGAATGAACATCTTGTCCGCAACCACAGCAGATCCAAACTCAGCCCTGGGCGTCCTCAACATGCTGACAACAGTCCATGTATCTGTTGTTGGTACATATCTCTCAACAGTGTCTACGCAGATAACACGACTGTCCACATCGACAGTAGCACCACCAACCAAGTAAAGAGCACTACCTACTTGCTGAAGATGGGCAAAGAACCTGGGTATTGACAAAGGGGATCTAAGCTCCCATTTGTTTTCGGATGGGTGGAACCTTTCCACGCGACTGGATACGAATTTGGTACCTGCAAAAGTAGCATTGTGTTATGTCAATGTTAGGTTCAATGTCCACAAAGTGTCCATATGAAAACATGAAAAAATGTTCTTCCTGGATAGATCTAGTATGGCCAGTTGATTGACTAAAATCTCTGGTGAATATATTTATGAAAGGCTATTATTTATAAAAGTAATTTATGATAAAAAAACTCGTTCCCTTGTGTTGTATAATAGATAGGTTACATGCCCAGGTTAAAGACAGTAAATAACGCTAAGTATATAAGCACTGGGAATTGGACAGAAAGGTCAATTTTGCCTAATGTGTGCCGTGTGTGGTAGCGTATCTGTAACTGACATTGGAGACTTTAGTTGGCTAACTCAGTTTTACTTCACATGTACATGGGTGACGCATGTTCAAAATGTGATTGTGTTATGATAAATATAAAACCTTCTCTTGTGGATCACCGTGTAAAGCATCTTCAAAGTATATGTTATATGCAAACTGGAGACAGGTGTCCTTATCCTTGAAACAAAGTTTCGCAGAGAAGAAAACAGAAATGATGTCAGTAATCTTCCTTCAAGTTCCAATCTACGTGTGGGATTCAGTTTAACATACAAATATGTACATGTAACAACTTCTAGATGAAAATGTACTCTATTGACTGGCGACAGGTATATTTTGCTCATTTTAGATATATAATTATATTTAGTTGACATATTTAAGCACTGGTGTTACCAAAATTTAATGTTGTGTCTTAGGATGGACATGGAGAGTACTTATTTTGGATTTGGTGTATGCAGCATGCCTGGGACATGACATTTGTATAATTGCACACTTAGTGGAGCATGAACCGTTACGTACATGTAGTTTTAGTGTTACTGGCTGTTTTACTTTCGGAGTAGAATTACTTATCTGGAACGTGTGGTAATACAGGTGTCATTTACCCTATACATAATGTGATGGGATGTTATTATAGCTACCTGATCCACCTATGGCATACAACTTTCCGTGCATGGCGGCTACAGCCACACTCCGCTTGGGTGCAGAAATTGGTGCTACTTCCTCCCACTCATCTTTGCTGGGGTTATACCGCTCAACAGATGACAGGGATTCGGATTTGTCTACCCGTCCACCTGCATGAAATATATTTGGTTGTTGAAATCGTTGTCCGGTGATTCAAGTTCATCTTGTACTCGAATTTACCAATGATACATAACTACTAACTGCTTGATTAAATATTGCACTTACCCCGCCTGGAACATTTTACAACGGCTTACATAACAGAAGGGGAAGAAGGTAATTGTAATACTCGTCAGAGGTAGGATTTATCTCAAAAGACCAATAATAAATAAAAAGTTCTAAACACTCGTTTGTACACATACACACCGCTCAGATAGCGGTGGGGGGTGGCATTCTCTTATCACAGATCTGTCCACAGGGTCGTTGAGATTGACTGCCTTGGAATGCCTTGTAATTGTTTCCGTTAAAACAGCACACACGTACTCATGGACTTAGTGGAAATAGTCACATTTTTGTTTCAATAGTGTTATACCAATTGAACTTTAATTGTTTATTTTTTTTAAATACAATGCGTACAGGAAAACAATAAAATAAGAGAAATGGTGTTGCTACCGTTTCTCTTATCATATACTGTCTTGTATTTATCGTATTTTTTATGAGTCATTACTGATGTAGGAAACAGCTGGGAAGATTTTGGGGGTGATTAATTCTTTCAGCTTGTTATGTACATTGAAGCAACAATTACAATAGACAGGCGCATTTTTGTCCGATTTGAAGACTTGTTCAACCATGACAAAAGCAACACTCCAATTATTTATTTTAACTTGTAATGTTATTAACAATTTCATATTATGTTTTCTTCAGTTAATTTAATTATAGACAGCAGGTCTTCTGGAACAGTTTATAATTATGCGTAGTTTACGTTTACTGTCATCGGGTGTTACACCATAAGCTGCGAGCAATTTGTGCATTTTCTTCTGAGTTATTATTACATTTTAACCGCACTTTATTCTTTGAAGCCTTGAACCAGTCTGTTTAACGTGTGGATGTTTGTTTTTTAACGCCGCGTCCAGCAATATTCCAGCTACATGACGGTGGCATGCCACGAGCAACGCCCCACGCCGTCGGAGCACGATGAAACACAAGCCTTGCCAACCAATCCATTAAGTTGCCCCGTTCAAGTACAGGATGCCTTGCGCTAATCCTAATCCGACGGGTGAGGTCCAAGAGTCATACAATCTCCAAGACTGCCTGACGAATACCGTTACATAAATATGTTAGTTTCTTTCATACAGTGAGCGACAATATGACTTCTTGACGCCATCTAATATCCATATTATTACTTTTAATTCAGTTCAATGCAAGGTAAGCAGAATTGCGTTTCAGCATTTTTATGGAACTCACAAGTGTTAGAAGAAATATGTATGGAATATCGGTAATAAGCAGATAAGGTTCTGATTCCCAGCTTTAGTTTCTACGTTTTGCATTTGGTTATATGAACACGACACAAGATTCTAGATCAGTTGAGTAAAGAAGAAATATTAATTCGAAATCTTTAGAAGTATAAAGATATAACTTACCAAGTGGACCATGTCAATGTCTGGAAAAAAGGTAGTCAGTGTACGCATGGTACACCTTGGAAGTTTGACCTTTGAAAGGAGAAAACCCAATACAAAGATCTCTTTGAGTTGGATGAGGTTCATCTCCAGCAACTCCACTACACGTATATCTGATGTTTGGTAGATTTAATCTGTTTGCGAAATTTTTCATCGCCGTCTTGACTTTGATATTCGGTCAGCGGATCGAAGTGGAGCGTAGTCTCAAGAGATAATTTGAATCTGTCTATGCTAAACTAATTAAAAGCCCCGTTGAAGCCATGGGCTAGTAATTGAGAACCTTAAATTAATTTCATTACCCAACATGTATCAAACGACAAAAAAGCATGCATAAAAGATATTTCCGCTTTGTCGACTAGTCTTTGTACCGGTGGCAGTGGGTTTTGTTGAAATACATAGTGGCCCGCCATTGCTTCAATTACACCCACGGAAAACATGATAGAGCACATAAAAAAACATAACAGCTTTAACAATAAAAACATCAGTGGCGAAAGACACCTATAAACATTTTTCATCAACTTTAGCGTATAAGTATATGTGGCTGAGCATTGTTTTGCGCCATAATCCAACCATATCCCAGGGGGGGGTGGGGGGGTAGGTGGTAAAAAGTGGGTTTCGCACATTCTACTCATGTGGAGAATCGAACCTGTTCTTCGATGTAACGAGCTAACGCTTTAACCACTAACGCCACCCTACACATACGTTTATGAAATACAATTTTCATTGGTCATGGTCATTATCTGCTTGGCAAACATACATCAGTATCAAAATACGACTAAAGCTACGGTCATGATAAACGGTTCCTATCTCTATATAACTTTAACGCTTCTTTTAAAAATCATATGTTCGCACAGGTTCACATACAAAAGTTTTATAGCATTATACCACTCTCATCTGAGTGACTAGTATTTTACGATATAGAGAGAATACTACACACCTTGAGCAAAGGCAACGTATGACCGCAAGAAGAATCCAAAGACAGACAAGGTCTGGTGCAAGTTATGAACGCACAAAGAGTCTTTTTACATCCGCTAATTAAATCATTGGACGCATTAAACAAGTCTATTAACTTAGGCATCCACGATTAAAGCTGTCAAGACAATAAAGCCTGCACGATGAAGCGTATCAACATAACAAAGCATCAATGATTGGGCCTGGCAGCACGGTAAGGCACCCACGATTATAAATCTGTCAGCCCGATGAGATGTCAAGAACTAAACCTGTCAACAAAGTGAAGTTTCAACAACTAAACCTGTTAACACATTGAAGCTCTAATAGCCAAACCTGTCAACACAGTCAAGTTCTAACAACTAAACCTGTCAACATGGTGAAGTTCTAATAACTAAACCCGACACTACAGTCAAGTTCTAATAACGAAACCTGTCAACACAGTTAAGTTCTAACAACTAAACCTGTCAACACAGTCAAGTTCTGACAACTAAACCTGTCAACACAGTCAAGTTCTGACAACTAAACCTGTCAACACAGTCAAGTTCTAACTACTAAACCTGTCAACACAGTCAAGTTCTAATAACTAAACCTGTCAACACAGTCAAGTTCTGACAACAAAAACCTGTCAACACAGTCAAGTTCTGACAGCAAAAACCTGACAACACAGTCAAGTTCTAATAACTAAACCTGTCAACACAGTCAAGTTCTGACAACTAAACCTCTCAACACAGTCAAGTTCTAGTAACTAAACCTCTCAACACAGTCAAGTTCTAACGACTAAACCAGACACCTGTCAATATAGGGAACCTTTGACGACTAAACCTGTCCATATAGGGAACCTTTGACGACTAAACCTGTCCATATAGGGAACCTTTGACGACTAAACCTGTCCATATAGGGGACCTTTGACGACTAAACCTGTCCATATAGGGAACCTTTGACGACTAAACCTGTCCATCTTGGGAACCTTTGACGACTAAACCTGTCCATATAGGGAACCTTTGACGACTAAACCTGTCCATATAGGGAACCTTTGACGACTAAACCTGTCCATATAGGGAACCTTTGACGACTAAACCTGTCAATAAAGTAAGGTTTTACGACTCAATATGTAAATGTAGTGATGCTTTGACTCAATCTGGCTATAAAGAAAAGCATTTACAACTCAGCCTGTCAATGTAGTGAAGTTATAACGACACCATCTGTCAATATAGTAAAGCTGTTACAACACAACCTGTCAACATAGTGAAGCTGTTACAATTCAACCTGTCAACATAGTGAAGCTATTACAATTCAACCTGTCAACATAGTGAAGCTATTACAATTCAACCTGTCAACATAGTGAAGCTATTACAATTCAACCTGTCAACATAGTGATGCTATTACGACACAACCTGTCAATATAGTGATGCTATTACGACACAACCTGTCAACACAGTGAAGCTATTACGACACAACCTGTCAACATAGTGAAGCTATTACGACACAACCTGTCAATATAGTGAAGTTATTACGACACAACCTGTCAACATAGTGAAGCTATTACGACACAACCTGTCAACATAGTGAAGCTATTACGACACAACCTGTCAACATAGTGAAGCTATTACGACACAACCTGTCAACATAGTGAAGCTATTACGACACAACCTGTCAATATAGTGATGCTATTACGACACAACCTGTCAACATAGTGATGCTATTACGACACAACCTGTCAACATAGTGAAGCTATTACGACACAACCTGTCAACATAGTGAAGCTATTACGACACAACCTGTCAACATAGTGATGCTATTACGACACAACCTGTCAACATAGTGAAGCTATTACGACACAACCTGTCAACATAGTGAAGCTATTACGACACAACCTGTCAATCACACCCTCATCAGCCCCTACCTCACCCCTACCTCTTTGAAACAATGGTAAAATATATTTCCAGAACGAAAGTACATGTCTTTTTTTCGCAATGCGAACATCACAAACTGAGACATGAAGTTTCGGTAGGTATGAAGAACTCTCTTCCTGACAGATCTAGCTCACATGATCCAACACCCACTCGTAAGGAAATATCATATCCATGTTAAACTAGAATACATCCACAGAAGCATCTGTCTTCACAAAAAGCGAGCTATTGTAAGTTGCTTCACATTATACCGTTGGTGACTTTTATAATGTGCGTATGAATGGCACTGGCTTCGACATAACTATCCCTTGAATTTGAAGTTAAAATAAATCTAATCCAGGAACAACGATTACGGTTTAAAATGGTGTTTCCAGTAGACGGCCATAGTTTAATAACCATGACCATTGAAAGAGTCCAGCTCTACTCACACACCATGTGTCCAGCTCCACTCACACACACTGTCTAGCTCAACTCACACACACAGTCCAGCTCCAATCACTAACACTGTCCAGCTCCACTCACTCACACTGTCCAGCTCCACTCACTCACACTGTCCAGCTCCACTCACTCACATTGTCCAGCTCCACTCACTCACACTGTCCAGCTCCACTCACTCACACTGTCCAGCTCCTCTCACACGCACTGTCCAGCTCCACTCACACACACTGTCCAGCTCCACTTACTCACACTGTCCAGCTCCACTCACTAACACTGTCCAGCTCCACTCACACACACTGTCCAGCTCCACTCACACACACTGTCCAGCTCCACTCACTCACACTGTCCAGCTCCACTCACTCACACTGTTAAGCTCCACTCACTCACACTGTCCAGCTCCACTTACTCATACTGTCCAGCTCCACTCACACAAACTGTCCACCTCCACTCACACAAACTGTCCAGCTCCACTCACAAACACTGTCCAGCTCCTCTCAATCACACTGTCCAGCTCCTATCACACACACTGTTCAGCTCCAGTTACTCACACTGTCCAGCTCCACTCACTCACACTGCCCAGCTACACTTACTCACACTGTCCAGCTCCACTGATTCACACTGTCCAGCTCCACTTACTCCTACTGTTCAGCTCCACTCACTTACACTGTCCAGCTTCACTCACTCACACTGTCCAGCTACACTTACTCACACTGTCCAGCTTCACTCACTCACACTGTCCAGCTCCACTTACTCCTACTGTTCAGCTCCACTCACTCACACTGTCGAGCTCCACTTACTCCTACTGTCAAGCTCCAATTACTCCTACTGTCCAGCTCCAGTTACTCACACTGTCCAGCTCCACTTACTCATACTGTCCAGCTCCACTTACTCACACTGTCCAGCTCCACTCACTCACAGTGTCTAGCTCCACTCACTCACACTGTCCAGCTCCACTCACTCGCACTGTCCAGCTCCACTCACACACACTGTCCAGCTCAACTTACTCACACTGTCCAGCTCCACTTACTCACACTATCCAGCTCCACTCACACACACTGTCCAGCTCCACTTACTCATACTATCCAGCTCAACTCAATCTCACTGTCCAGCTCAACTTACTCACACTGTCCAGCTCCACTTACTCACACTATCCAGCTCCACTCACACACACTGTCCAGCTCCACTTACTCATACTGTCCAGCTCCATTCACACACACTGTCCAGCTCCACTCACTCACATTGTCCAGCTCCACTCACTCACACTGTTAAGCTCCACTCACTCACACTGTCCAGCTCCACTTACTCATACTGTCCAGCTCCACTCACACACACTGTCCAGCTCCATTCAGACACACTGTTCAGCTCCACTCACACAAACTGTCCAGCTCCACTCACACACACTGTTCAGCTCCACTCACTCACACTGTCCAGCTCCACTCACTCACACTGCCCAGCTCCACTTACTCATACTGTCCAGCTCCACTCACACAAACTGTCCTACTCCACTCACACAAACTGTCCAGCTCCACTCACACACACTGTCCAGCTCCTCTCAATCACACTGTCCAGCTCCTATCACACACACTGTTCAGCTCCAGTTACTCACACTGTCCAGCTCCACTCACTCACACTGCCCAGCTACACTTACTCACACTGTCCAGCTCCACTGATTCACACTGTCCAGCTCCACTTACTCCTACTGTTCAGCTCCACTCACTTACACTGTCCAGCTCCACTCACTCACACTGTCCAGCTACACTTACTCACACTGTCCAGCTCCACTCACTCACACTGTCCAGCTCCACTTACTCCTACTGTTCAGCTCCACTCACTCACACTGTCCAGCTCCACTTACTCCTACTGTCAAGCTCCAATTACTCCTACTGTCCAGCTCCAGTTACTCACACTGTCCAGCTCCACTTACTCATACTGTCCAGCTCCACTTACTCACACTGTCAAGCTCCACTCACTCACAGTGTCTAGCTCCACTCACTCACACTGTCCAGCTCCACTCACTCGCACTGTCCAGCTCCACTCACACACACTGTCCAGCTCAACTTACTCACACTGTCCAGCTCCACTTACTCACACTATCCAGCTCCACTCACACACACTGTCCAGCTCCACTTACTCATACTGTCCAGCTCCACTCACACACACTGTCCAGCTCAAGTTACTCACACTGTCCAGCTCCACTTACTCACAGTGTCCAGCTCCACTCACACACACTGTCCAGCTCCACTCACTCATACTATCCAGCTCCACTCATTCACACTATCCAGCTCCACTCACTCACATTGTCCAGCTCCTATCACACACACTGTTCAGCTCCACTCACTCACACTGTCCAGCTCCACTCACTCACACTGCCCAGCTCCACTTAGTCACACTGCCCAGCTCCACTTACTCACACTGTCCAGTTCCACTCACTCACACTGGCCAGCTCCACTTACTCCTACTGTTCAGCTCCACTCACTCACGCTGTCGAGCTCCACTTACTCCTACTGTCAAGCTCAAATTACTCCCACTGTCCAGCTCCACTCACACACACTGTCCAGCTCAAGTTACTCACACTGTCCAGCTCCACTTACTCACAGTGTCCAGCTCCACTCACACACACTGTCCAGCTCCACTCACTCATACTATCCAGCTCCACTCATTCACACTATCCAGCTCAAATCACTCACATTGTCCAGCTCCTATCACACACACTGTTCAGCTCCACTCACTCACACTGTCCAGCTCCACTCACTCACACTGCCCAGCTCCACTTAGTCACACTGCCCAGCTCCACTTACTCACACTGTCCAGTTCCACTCACTCACACTGTCCAGCTCCACTTACTCATACTGTTCAGCTCCACTCACTCACGCTGTCGAGCTCCACTTACTCCTACTGTCAAGCTCAAATTACTCCCACTGTCCAGCTCCACTTACTCATACTGTCCAGCTCCACTTACTCACACTGTCCAGCTCCACTCACACACTCTGTCCAACTCCACTTACTCACACTGTCAAGCTCCCCTCACTCACAGTGTCTTGCTCCACTCACTCACACTGTCCAGCTCCACTCACTCACACTGTCCAGCTCCACTCACACACACTGTCCAGCTCAACTTACTCACACTGTCCAGCTCCACTCACTCACACTGTCCAGCTCCACACACTCACATTGTCCAGCTCCTATCACACACACTGTTCAGCTCCACTCACTCACACTGTCCAGCTCCACTCACTCACACTGCCCAGCTCCACTTAGTCACACTGCCCAGCTCCACTTACTCACACTGTCCAGTTCCACTCACTCACACTGGCCAGCTCCACTTACTCCTACTGTTCAGCTCCACTCACTCACGCTGTCGAGCTCCACTTACTCCTACTGTCAAGCTCAAATTACTCCCACTGTCCAGCTCCACTCACACACACTGTCCAGCTCAAGTTACTCACACTGTCCAGCTCCACTTACTCACAGTGTCCAGCTCCACTCACACACACTGTCCAGCTCCACTCACTCATACTATCCAGCTCCACTCATTCACACTATCCAGCTCAAATCACTCACATTGTCCAGCTCCTATCACACACACTGTTCAGCTCCACTCACTCACACTGTCCAGCTCCACTCACTCACACTGCCCAGCTCCACTTAGTCACACTGCCCAGCTCCACTTACTCACACTGTCCAGTTCCACTCACTCACACTGTCCAGCTCCACTTACTCATACTGTTCAGCTCCACTCACTCACGCTGTCGAGCTCCACTTACTCCTACTGTCAAGCTCAAATTACTCCCACTGTCCAGCTCCACTTACTCATACTGTCCAGCTCCACTTACTCACACTGTCCAGCTCCACTCACACACTCTGTCCAACTCCACTTACTCACACTGTCAAGCTCCCCTCACTCACAGTGTCTTGCTCCACTCACTCACACTGTCCAGCTCCACTCACTCACACTGTCCAGCTCCACTCACACACACTGTCCAGCTCAACTTACTCACACTGTCCAGCTCCACTCACTCACACTGTCCAGCTCCACACACTCACACTGCCCAGCTCCACTTACTCACACTGTCCAGCTCCACTCACTCACACTGCCCAGCTCCACTGATTCACACTGTCCAGCTCCACTCATTCACACTTTCCAGCTCCACTTACTCCTACTGTTCAGCTCCACTTACTCACACTGTCCAGCTCCACTCACTCACACTGTCCAGCTCCACTCACTCACACTGTCCAGCTCCTCTGAAACAGACGGCACAGCTTCACTTACCTACTGAGTACAACTTGCCATTTAACACACCGATCTGGAAGCTCTCCCTGCGGTACTTCATGCTGGCTACCTGGAGCCAGGTGCCGTGTCGGGGATCGAACCTGTACGCCGTGTTGAGTGGCGAACAATGGTCGTTACCCATCTCCCCTCCCACTAGGTAGAGGAAGCCATTGAGTACCGCCACTGTAGACAAACAAAGTATTCGGAACTCAGAATGGCATATCTACAGAACTTGGGTATGAAGTTTGGACTATAGGTTGCTATGTCTTACAGGTATAAAGTACAATATCGATAGCCGTAGCTTAAATAATTTATTATATGTCATATATGTTTGAGATAACTTGGAGCACCACATCTACACTACTTACGTAGTCGCTGCAAGCTAAAATTATTCTACCCATGAGCGCGAGTGTGACAAGTGTTTAGGATTTGGCACGTATTGTGTTATTTCAAACACATTTTCAAACAAAAGATACCGGGATGTAGAGTAGTATGGGCGGAATGTTCAAAGTAGTGTCACACGCAAACGAAGTAGTCCCCGATCGAGAGGGCGCATATTTTGACTAGAAGAGTTTGGATTTTGTGTCAGTCTTAGAGACGACATTGAATGACGTCGATCTAAATCACCCACCGAAATATAACATATTCTGAAACCCACTGAATCCTTTATCCGTGAAATTAACCCTGTTGCTATTCATGCTATACGCTCAGTCTAACTGGACAGGTCCTTCACCTGTAATGCTATTATGTTGATGACGCATCACAAGACCAATTTGATTACTCAGCGGAGTACGAACGATGTCAGACAAAACAATACTGTCAAAGGACATCGATTTTGTCTATATTCTATACAGCATATACCATTCATCTATGAAATGTCCTGCACAGTACAATGTGTATCGGCGATTTGAGGAGGCAGCATTCCTTATTTACATTATCTTAGTTACACAGTTGATGAACATTTAATCTGCTGATATTTTCCATAAAAAATCGTGACGAATACTTGGGCGTAAGTAAATATATCCACTGCGATCTATCTATACTGCCCACACCGTCACACGGGGGTACATACGCGTCTGGTAATCACATTGATTTACATAAAGATATCGTTTCTGCAGGCTTACCAAACTCGAAGGAATGTTTATCTCCAAATGTGTACAACCAACATGTACGGAGCAGATATTTATCGGAGAACAGGTGATGTGAACACTTTAACAGCGACACAGTCACATGATTCAGGGGACAGCTGATATGAACACTTTAACAGACACGGTCACGTGATTCAGAGGACAGCTGAAATGAACACTTTAACAGACACGGTCACATGATTCAGAGGACAGCTGATATGAACACATTAACAGTCATGGTCACATGATTCAGAGGACAGCTGAAATGAACACTTTAACAGACACGGTCACATGATTCAGAGGACAGCTGATATGAACACATTAACAGTCATGGTCACATGATTCAGAGGACAGCTGATATGAACACATAAACAGACATGGTCACACGATTCAGAGGACAGCTGATATGAACACATTTACAGATACGGTCACATGATTCAGAGGACAGTTGATATGAACAAATTAACAGATACGGTCACATGATTCAGAGGACAGCTGATATGAACACATAAACAGACATGGTCACACGATTCAGAGGACAGCTGATATGAACACATTTACAGATACGGTCACATGATTCAGAGGACAGTTGATATGAACAAATTAACAGATACGGTCACATGATTCAGAGGACAGCTGATATGAACACATTTACAGATACGGTCACATGATTCAGAGGACAGTTGATATGAACAAATTAACAGATACGGTCACATGATTCAGAGGACAGCTGGAATGAACACTTTAACAGACACGGTCACATGATTCAGAGGACAGTTGATATGAACACTTTAACAGCGAAAGAGTCACATGATTCAGAGGACAGCTGATATGAACACATTAACAGACATGGTCACATGATTCAGAGGACAGCTGAAATGAACACTTTAACAGACACGGTCACATGATTCAGAGGACAGCTGATATGAACACATTAACAGTCATGGTCACATGATTCAGAGGACAGCTGATATGAACACATAAACAGACATGGTCACACGATTCAGAGGACAGCTGATATGAACAAATTAACAGATACGGTCACATGATTCAGAGGACAGCTGATATGAACACATTAACAGATACGGTCACATTACTCAGAGGACAGCTGATACGAGCACATTAACAGATACGGTCACATGATTCAGAGGACAGCTGATGTGAATACCAGAACATTAACAGGTACATCAATATCACTCAAAGGATAACTGAATCGAATACAATAACAGTGTGTGTGTGTGTGTGTGTGCGTGCGTGCATAAGAGTGCGTCCGTGCGTGCATGTGTGTGCCCTCTGCAGGGTAACAAGTACCGTCATTTAACGTCTTTTGGTATGATGTGGCCGGGGATCGAACCACCGACCTTCCGCAGCTTGAATGTAGGGAACACAAACCTGCAGCCGAGGAGGTTGTTGCATACTGCAGACACGTGAAAACGCTTAGAAAGTCGGACTAAAGTTTACGGAATCACAGAGATAATATTCGTGGGACAAATCTAGAAAATCGAATGAAATCAAATTGTTTCCCTCCCACAAGTACAAGGTAATTCAATTGGTCCAAGGCCAATGATTAGGACGGAACTTAACATATGCCTGTAACAGTTCGCCCACGATATGAAGGAATTACAATTCCCCCATGTTGTGGTGAATTAGTCTTGCACTCTACACCAACACAACTGAGCCGCTTCCGCTGACAGAATCCCTGTGGTTAATGAGATTCAGTTCATTAAGAGATCACGTATTGTTCCTACTACGGTGGGTGAGTAGTTGATGATATTTCAATCTCAGGTTGGGTTCTGTCTGGCTACGAGTGTCTGATGCTTACATAGGGCCCTGGCTCGCATATCTCGAGCATCAAAATGTGGAAAATCGGACAAATATGAGGTTTAACGTGCATCTTATCTCTGAAATACATATGCATATAGATTAGGTTAAAAGTGAAGTACTACACATTGGAGTGATTATACCATGGTTTGGAATATTTGTTTGATGCAATCTTAGTTAAGAACTTTAAACACCCTTATTCCAATTGCTTACACAATATCGTTTTACTAACACGTGCTGGAACAAAGCAAATATAAACGCATCAAACGACATCACGTCTCGTCACAGACCATTACACTGTATCAGGATATCATACTGTCCCCCCTAGCATCAGAGAGAGGATACTGTCCCTCCTAGCATCAAAGAGAGGATACTGCAGCCCCTGGCATCAAAGAGAGGATACTGCAGCCCCTGGCATCAAAGAGAGGATACTGCAGCCCCTGGCATCAAAGAGAGGATACTGCAGCCCCTGGCATCAAAGAGAGGATACTGCAGCCCTTGGCATCAAAGAGAGGATACTGCAGCCCCTGGCATCAAAGAGAGGATACTGCAGCCCCTGGCATCAAAGAGAGGATACTGCAGCCCCTCGCATCAAAGAGAGGATACTGCAGCCCCTGGCATCAAAGAGAGGATACTGCAGCCCCTAGCATCAAAGAGAGGATACTGCAGCCCCTCGCATCAAAGAGAGGATACTGCAGCCCCTGGCATCAAAGAGAGGATACTGCAGCCCCTATCATCAAAGAGGGGATACTGCAGCCCCTTGCATCAAATAGAGGATACTGCAGCCCCTAGCATCAAAGAGAGGATACTGCAGCCCCTGGCATCAAAGAGAGGATACTGCAGCCCCTGGCATCAAAGAGAGGATACTGAAGCCCCTGGCATCAAAGAGAGGATACTGCAGCCCCTGGCATCAAAGAGAGGATACTGCAGCCCCTAGCATCAAAGAGAGGATACTGCAGCCCCTGGCATCAAAGAGAGGATACTGCAGCCCCTAGCATCAAAGAGAGGATACTGCAGCCCCTAGCATCAAAGAGAGGATACTGCAGCCCCTAGCATCAAAGAGAGGATACTGCAGCCCCTAGCATCAAAGAGAGGATACTGCAGCCCCTGGCATCAAAGAGAGGATACTGCAGCCCCTAGCATCAAAGAGAGGATACTGCAGCCCCTGGCATCAAAGAGAGGATACTGCAGCCCCTGGCATCAAAGAGAGGATACTGCAGCCCCTAGCATCAAAGAGAGGATACTGCAGCCCCTGGCATCAAATAGAGGATACTGCAGCCCCTGGCATCAAAATGAGTATATTGAATCCCCTAGCATCAAAGAGAGTATACTACATACCCTAGTATCAAAGAGAATATACTACATCCCCTTGTATCAAAGAGAGTATATTGTATCCCCTGGCATCAAAGAGAGTATATTGAACCCCTTAGCATCAAAGAGAGTATACTAAATCCCAAAAGAGAGTTCCAGAGAAGAAGAGGTTTAAAGCAATAACGCCAAATAACCCCTATTTCGCCCCGCCCTCAGCCCCTTGGGGGATCAGCCCCACCATTTGTACAATTTTTAATCCCCACCACCTAGGGATGCTTCCAGTCAAATTTCGTTAATTTCCAATTAGTAGTTCAGAAGAAGAAGTGAATAAATTGTTGACGTATGGACGACGGACGGACGCCACGGTATGGCATAAACTCACCTTATTCCTTCGGACCCGGGGAGCTAATAAAAAGGCGCCCAGAGACTCTCTTCATCTTCAGATTCCTGATACTGCATAAATCTAGACTTGCACACTTTTATAGCATTTATTATGGGTTGTTTGGGATATATTGGTTTCAGGCCGAATTACAGACAGGAAAAGCTGTACACACATATCAATGATATGGCAATTGAATGTATAACACTGAGAAGAAATAATAAATGTTGCTAATAAATATTCGGTTGTCAGTATTTCACCATGAACATGACACGTGTGCTAGCTCTGTGTCGCTCTGTACAAACCAGACATCTCTGCCCACACAATTCGCCCCTTTTCCACCACGAAATACATCTGTAAATAACATGGCAGGTGTTTTAAATGTTTTTCCATGAATATTTGATCCAAAGGCAAATTCCCGCTTTTATCCATCGATAGCGTCAAGCAAGACGTACTTTTGTTATTTCATGCATCATATCCTAGTGTTCATCGATAGCATGCCTACGCTCAAAACAGACTACTGAAAATAAGAAAACTGAGGTACC